TCACTGTTTGCAGATGACATGATACTATACATGGAGAATCCTAAAGATGCCACCAGAAAACTGCTAGAGCTAATCAATGAATTTGGTAAAGTTGCAGGGTACAAAATTAATGTACAGAAATCTCTTGCATTCCTACACACTAATGATGAAAAATCTGAAAGAGAAATTAAGGAAACATTCCCATTTACCATTGCAACAAAAAGAATAAAATACCTAGGAATAAACCTACCTAGGGAGACAAAAGACCTGTATGCAGAAAACTATAAGACACTGATGAAAGAAATTAAAGATAATACCAACAGATGGAGAGATATACCACGTTCTTGGATTGGAGGAATCAACATTGTGAAAATGACTCTACCACCCAAGGCATATTACAGATTCAATGCAATCCCTGTCAAAATACCAATGGCCTTTTTCACAAAACTAGAACAAAAAAGTTCACAATTTGTGTGGAATCACAAAACACCCTGAATAGCCAAAACAATTTTCAAAAAGAAAAATGGAGCTGGAAGAATCAGGCTCCTTGACTTCAGAGTATACTACAAAGCTACAGTAAACAAGACAGTATGGTATTGGCACAAAAACAGAAATATAGATCGATGGAACAGGATAGACAGCCCAGAGATAAACCCTCGCACCTATGGTCACCTTGTCTTTGTTAAAGGAGGCAAGAATATACAATGGAGAAAAGAGAGCCTCTTCAATAAGTGGTGCTGGGAAAACTGGGAAGCTACATGTAAAAGAATGAAATTAGAACACTGCCTAACACCATACACAAAAATAAACTCAAAAAGGATTAGAGACCTAAATGTAAGACCGAACACTATAAAACTCTTAGAGGAAAATATAGGAAGAACACGCTTTGACATAAATCAGAGCAAGATCTTTTTTGATCCACCTTGTAGAGTAATGGAGATAAAAACAAAAATAAACAAATGGGACCTAATGAAACTTCAAAGCTTTTGCAAAGCAAAGGAAACTACAAACAAGATGAAAAGACAACCCTCAGAATGGGAGAAAATATTTGCAAATGAATCAACTGACAAAGGATTAATCTCCAAAATATATAAACAGCTCATGCAGCTCGATATTAAAGAAACAGACAACCCAATCCAAAAATGGGCAGAAGACCTAAATAGACATTTCTCCAAAGAAGACACACAGATGCCAAAAGGCACATAAAAAGCTGCTCAACATCACTAATTATTAGAGAAATGCAAATCAAAACTACAATGAGGTATCACCTCACACCAGTTAGAATGGGCATCATCAGAAAATCTACAAACAACAAATGCTGGAGAGGGTGTGGAGAAAAAGGACCCTCTTGCACTGTTGGTGGGAATGTAAATTGATACAGCCACTATGGAGAACAGTATGGAAGTTCCTTAAGAAACTAAAAATAGAACTACCATATGACACAGCAATCCCACTACTGGGCATATACCCAGAGAAAACTATAATTCAAAAAGATACATACACCCCAATGTTCATTGCAGCACTATTTACAATAGCCAGGACATGGAAGCAACCTAAATTCCCATCAACAGACGAATGGATAAAGAAGATGTGGTACATATATACAATGGAATATTCCTCAGCCATAAAAAGGAATGAAACTGAGTCATTTGTAGAGACGTGGATGGATCTAGCAACTGTCATACAGAGTGAAGCAAGTCAGAAAGAGAAAAACAAATATCGTATGTTCATGCATATATGCGGAACTTAGAAAAACGGTACAGATGAACTGGTTTACAGGGCAGAAATTGAGACACATGTAAAGAAGAAAAGTATGGACACCAAGGGGGGAACGTGGGCGGGGGTGTTTTGTGATGAATTGGGACATTGGGATTGACATATATACACTAATATGTATAAAATGGATAACTAAAAAGAACCTGCTGTTTTTTAAAAAAGAATACTCCCTGGGAACTTCCCTGGTGGTCCAGTGGTTAAGACTCTGTGCTTCCAATGCAGGGGCCATGGGTTTGATCCCTGGTCAGGGAGCTAAGATCCCACATGCCGTGTAGTGTGGCTAAAAAATATTTAAATTTTTTAAAATTTTAAATTAAAAAATGTTTTTGAATAAAAAATACTCCCTGAATTAATAAATAACACTTGTGTTCCTCTCTTCAACCTAAATCCCCAAGCCTCTATAACATGGACTAATGTCATAGCCCTTTATCACTTTGCCATTAATATGCAATACCCAGCCTTTGCCCTCAAGTTCCTCTCACCTGGAATGTTCACTTGACTTCCTTGCATCCCACCCAATTCCAGTTTCAGCTCTAGTGTTTCTTCTACAGAGCTTCTGAAAACCATGCTGATCTTCATGAAGCATCCTTTTTTGTGTAAGCTTAGATCTCACCGTCTCATTTCACACTTCATTATTTAATGCATTGCCCTCTTGTTTTATATACATTAGCCTATTTTTCCAGTCAATTTGCAAGTCTCATGGAGGCCAGATCATTTCTGTGTCCTCCATGGTGCCCAGCATGGTGCTAATAAGCTAGGCAGATCATCAGTGTATGTGGATTGAAAGGTTTACATTTCTGATTTACAAAACCTGCTCAGGTCACATAGTAAGGGGCAAAAAAGATTTGCTGAAAGAATATAGTATACATCAAAAAACTGAACTGCAAAACAAAGTTCTGGAAATTTCCTAGGATAAAAATAAATGTATCTGGGTCTCAAACACAAGACTAAATATTTTAGTCCTTGGCTTCTTCCATGGTCCCATCCCTCTGAGAATTCACAGTTCTTAGACTAGAAGACTGCTAGTGTGACACAGGCTCTGGAAACATCAAACACTCCTCTCTTCAAGGTTTGAATCAATGAAAAGAACTTGTCCTGTCATCTTAAAATGACTCTTTTGACCTCTCCATGTAACAGTTCACATATGGTACTGTGCATCTTCCTGTCTGTGAAATCTTTAGGATTCCAAGGTGTTCACTTAATAATTAAGTTGACTTAAATAAGCTTTCTAAGAAATAATTGGGATGAACATTTCAGGCAGCCAAATTACTCCTATGCTCAACCATATGAAAAAAAAAATCCATCTGAAGTCACTTGGAAGGTAATACCAGGAAATCATTTTCAGCATTACAAGACATATTAAGACGTTCAGTTGGAATAATCTACTACCTTAGATATTAGAGCTACAGAATGCTTAAGGCTATCTGCATTGCCTCCTAATAGCACTGATGAGAAAGTTATTAAGTGAATAAAATCTTCCTGCATTACACTATTACAGTCTTACAATCTTGTCATTTTACAGATGGGTTATTAATTTTATCAGTTGTCACTAAAGTAAGAAAAATAAATTTTCAAGAATATAAAAGGATGATTCATATCTTTTTTCTAATGTGTAGCATTCGTTGGCAATATGAAGACTGGAAAACTCAAAAATGATTTTTATTTATAGTATCCAAAGCATATTGATGGAATAATTATCAATTGCTAATATAAAATGTTTATATTAATGTATAAAATGCATAATGTATACAGTGAAGTACATATACAGCTCCATGAACTTTTACATATATATTCACCCATGTGACCACCACCCACATTGATATATAGAACACTTCCAGCCCAGGAGAAGGCTCCTGCCTGCCTTTTCCTGGTCAAACTCTACTACCTGTTACAATGTAATCATTGTCCTGATCTCTGTCACCATTGGTTAGCTTTTCTCGGTTGTGAAAATATGTGTAAATGAAGTTATACATTGTGTATCCTTTTGTGTCTGGCTTCTTTTGCTCAACACTCATCCATCTTGCTGTGTATATCCATAGTGTGTTCTTTTTCATGTTTGGCAAAATTCCATTGGATAAGCACACCACAATATATTTATCTATCCTGTGGGCATTTGGGGGTTTTCCAGTTTTTGATTATTATGAATAAATGTGCTACAAACATTCTTGTACATGTCTTTTGATGAACAGAAGTACTCATTTCTCTTGTGTGTGTATATCCAAGAGTGGGATTGTTGGCTTAAAGGGTGGGCATATTTGTGAACTGCCAAACAATTTGCTCAAATGATTGAACCATGATATATTTTAATTCATGAATAGAGTTTGTGAATCCAAGGTAGCTACTATCGAATAGTCTAAATTGTGCCTTTTGTTTCTGGTTTATTAATATGTATCGACATTTTTAAAGTATATTGTTTTACACAGGCACAAAAACTTGGCCAGCTCAAGTGTTAGTTGGAATTAAAGGTGAAAGGATTTTGAAAGTTTCATTTAAAAAATTCATCATTATAGAACGGCATTAAACAATTGGAACTTTAATAAGTTCTGGCATTTAGTGAATTACTCTTTCCTTTACAGTGTTGGGAATTAATGTTTGGAGATTAAAATTAATTAATAGTAATTTAGGGGCTTCCCTGATGGCGCAGTGGTTGCGAGTCCGCCTGCCGATGCAGGGGACATGGGTTTGTGCCCCAGTCCGGGAAGATCCTACATGGCGCAGAGCGGCTGGGTCCGTGAGCCATGGCTGCTGAGCCTGCACGTCTGGAGCCTGTGCTCCACAACGGGAGAGGTCATAACAGTGAGAGGCCCGCGTACCGCCAAAAAAAAAAAAAAGTAATTTGGAAAAATGTATTAAGAAATGTGTTTGCCTTGGTCAAACAAGAATGATTTGGGCTAAAAATTATGTTTTGGTGAATGATTGGAGTTCATTCCTCCTACACCTGACAAAAATAACATTTTGATATCTCAGGCCCATGCCATTATTTTTCTATCCAGTTTTATTTTGTTCTCATAAAGCTATATAGTTTTTATTTTCATGTGACCAGGAATTATCTACTTGCTTTCACTGTAATTTGCCTGCATCTAATTTATCTTTTTTTTTTAAAGGAAGAAGATTGGTCTTTATCTGTATACAAGGGATTGACAATAGAAGAGCACTAATTTTTCTGGGCAGAGACGCACACAGAGGTCTCATGTCATTTGATTCTGAATGCAAAATAAGATGCAGTTTTGCTTTTTCTGTTTCAGTTATCTCAGGGATCTCCAGAACCAATTGAGCCCAACTTTTTCACAGCAGATTACCATTTATTGCATCATTCATCAGGTCGAAACAGCCTATCCCCAAATAACCCAACAGGTAATGATCTTCAACACAGGAAACCTGGCTTTCACAAAGAAATAGATTGTTTGGATCAACAGCTATCCTTAAAAGATTATCTTCAATTTAAAATGAAAATAGAGTTTATTTTGATTATCTGTGGTGACAGTTGGAAGGACATACAGTAGGAATTTAGAAATTCCCTGAGATTTATTTTACACACTTGTGACACCTTCCTTGATCATTTATTAATACCATAAGCAAACAGAATATATGTGGGTAAATTGTATTTCCTTTTACTTCTTTTTATGTGATGATGGGAAATCAAATGCCCAAAAACATCCAGGGGGATAAAAAGAGAAATGAAGAGCTTGAATAAAACAGAAAATTTGACACTTACCCGAAGAATCCACATCAGACATATTTAATTTTTTTTTTTGAAAAAATTTCTCATAGGGAGGCAATATAACATAGGGATTAAAGGTATGTATTCTGTAAACCAGGATGCCTAGATTCAAATCTCAGCTCAACCACTTAGTAGCTGACCTTGAGCAAATTATTTGACCTCACTGAACCCCAGTTTTCTTGCCTGTAAAATGGTAACCATCTTAGGATTATAGCAATGATCAGTGTAAATATATAAAAAGTACTTAGCCAGTAGTAGGGGCTCAGCATAATGTAATTTTTCTTGTGATATTTTTGACCTCAGAAGAGATCTTTAAGCTACTCTGAGGTTACAGAATTCCTAAATAATTTCAGAATCCCTGTAAACTATAGTTATATCTCTCAGTGGGGCAGAAAGATGTGAAACTTTTACTGTTAAATGAAAACTTGCCATCTACTCAGACTAAAAAAAAAAGCCTAATTCTGTTGTGCTTTTGAAGTTGCCTAATTTAGGCAAATCACTTCATGTACTAATTATCAAACTTTCCCTAAGTCTTGGACTCCTAGGATATAGCTAAACTGGGTAGACGGAACTTCATTTAAAATCATCCCTGAGAAATCTGTAAGATCGAGATAAATTATCTAAAGTCATTTGCTTTTATTTATTTTTAATTGAACTATAGTTGATTTATAATATTGTGTTAGTTTCAGGTGTACAGAAAAGTGATCCAGATATATGTATATATTCTTTTTCAGATCCTTTTCCTTTATAGGTTATTAAAAATATTAAATATAGTTCCCAGTGCTATACAGTAAATCATTATTGTTTATATATTTTATATATAGTAGAGTGCATCTGTTAATCCCATATGCCTAATTTATCCCTCCCCCCCTTCCCCTTTGGTAACCATAGGTTTGTTTTCTATGTCTGTGAGTCTGTTTCTGTTTTGTAAATAAGTTCATTTGTATTATTTTTTAGATTCCACAGATAAGTGATATCATATAATATTTGTCTTTCTGACTTACTTCACTTAGTACGATGTGGTATATATATATATATATAATTGAATATTAGCCATAAAAAAGAATAAAATCTTGCCATATGCAGCAACATGTATGGATCTAGAGATTATCATACTAAGTGAAGTAAAGTCATTTGCATCCCCCTGGGCAGGTAGGTCAGTCACAGGCCAGACTTCTTACCACAGCAGCCCTGCTGAGTGAAGAACTCTGGTGGAAGTCTCTCAGCGGCCTGAGAGGGAGTTGACAGGCTCTTCCAGAAGCTGGATGCCCCTACCCAGAGCAGACCAGGTGTGTCCCCAGTCATGGCAGCCTGGACAGAAGCAAAGACAGCAGAACCAGGGAGCACTTTGGGCAACACCTTTAAGCTGGGCTTGAAAAACAAGCTGCCAGCACTCACATCCTTGTGCGTCCTCTTAACCTTCAACCCATTCTCTTTTCTCTCTCCTAAGTAAGTGTCAGGGGAGCTCCTGGGCCTCCATGTGATAAGTGTTGATTGACCTGAGTGGAAACTGGTCAACATTGCTTTGGGTGGTGCTGGGGTTGGTTAATGTGCTGGTATATCATACTCAGACCAAACCTCAAAAGAATTACTGTCTTCTGATTTTAAATGTATTTTATTCCCTCCTGGCAGCCATAGCCAAGGGTCAGACCTTTGTTGTCCTCCTCTGGCTATTTCTGCCTTCCTCTAAGAATTTGTTTTTTTTCTAGCACATATCTACTCTTTTTGCCTTGTGGATTAGGAATAGTTTCTTAATCTTTTCTTTGCCTATCAGGAAGTTTGTGTTTAGAACCACTCCTCACCTATCCTTACACACACACACACACACACACACACACCTAACTTAATTGGCCAATTTATACCATGAGCAATGCACATAAATCTTGTGTATTATTTTGTGATGGCCACCCCAAAAGCCAAGATAATTTGGAATGTGTTTGTAAGTACTCATCTTCATCACTAAGAAACTGACCTCTTTTCACTGCATGTGAGTCATAATTGCCAATAAAATCTAAGAAAACATGAACCAAATGTCAGACTTTTCATAATTTATCTATTTCAGGTCTACCCTCCAGCTTTGATTTGGAGCAGGGGATAACATATGAACAGATGCAGGTGAGGTTTTTGCGGTGCCTCTGAATGATTTTATTTTGTTGCTTTTAATTCAATACTAACCTGATTTGTTTTAACTTTAGATTGTGATTGAAGAAGTCCTAGAGGAAAGTGGTTATTACAATTTTACTTCTAACAGGTGAGATCTAGAAATGTGAAAATTCAATTTAGACCATTGGATATTAGATCTAATTTCTCTATCCTTGATTCTAGAGGTTTTCCCCGACCTTCTATTTTAAACACTTTTGTAAAATATCTTGGCTTAGACTTGATACAACTGTGAGTAGAATGTATGTTGACCATCTTTTATATGGATGCAGCTGCTGTATTCTTGGTTGAAAAAGAAAGGGTGATCACTTAGTAGTAATTTACTCCTACATAATGAAATGGAAAATTATTTCTACATATTTTTTTTAAATTAAGCATGTTTGTCCCGTATTGGAAGAGCCGAAACTCAAATGTCCATGACTAAAATCTAGCAATTATTTGTATAGAATGCAAGGGGGAAAGTGCAACTAAACAAAGAATCACTTCTGGTGAATTTAAGATATGTTTGTGGGAAAGGGATTTGTTGTTATGTGTTCCCATTTGCTTACCCTAAATAAGAAATTGCAGTTTACTGGGGCTGTGTTATCTTCTAAAATAATCATTATTGGTGATCTAAAAATATACTCTATTTTATATCAATTTCATTCAGTTATGGATTCCTGCAATTTTACTGTTGGGCACAGTTTAGGGCACAAAGATTTGAGTACAATTAGTTTGAGAGGCAAGCCCAAGAAACTCTGGTAAGGGATTGAAGAAATAATTCAATAAAGATTTCATTTTCAAGTAAGTTACTATTGTGGTGGTTGGAGCTTGATCCCATTGTGGAAATCTGAGCGCCAGTGGAGAACATGTACCTCAATTCTCCCACTTATGGACTGAGGGAGCTGGGATGATATTTATCTCTAATTTCCATTAGTCATCGTTTGAGGCCTTTTTCCCCAGAGGACGTTAGTTCCCTGGCATTTCTGGCCTTCTGTAAGGGTGGACAAAGCAGATTCTAGAGACCAGAGGTATCCTCAGGAAAAGAAACGCAGGTGCTGGCCGTAGGGAATCAGGCCAGCCTGCTTTGAAGTGCTTTGAAAGAGGGGATATGGGCGCTGACAGTGTCTGCTATACATGAGCTGTCTCTTGACTTTTCCAAGGAGCCCACTCATAACAGAAGCATCAAATTGACCATGAGTAACCACTTACACATCCTATATGGCCAAAGTTGCCTTAGGAGACATAGTCCAGTGGAGTTTGTTTTCCCGAAGTGGCCTTTTCTACCTGGAGGAATAACCTTCCTGTCTAGCTAATGAAGCTATCTGTTTGACCACTATTTAAATTATTCTAGAAGTCTTCCCCAAAGATAACTGTTAGCCATGGAAAGAGAAAGAGGTCTCAAGAACATTCTATTAAGGTCATTATATTGAAATTAGAATCTTTTTTGAGGTTAGGTTAGCCTTTTTTTTCCCTGTTTCAATGAGTTGTTCTTATGAATCACAGATAAGATTATTCAGCTGCTTGCTCTTTTGGCTTGATAATATATTTCCAAAATACTATCTTTGTACATATAGTCCTGTTGTGATTTGTAACTGCAGAGAAATGATGAGTAATTCTCATTTTCCAAAGGTATATTGTTAATAGAAATAACCGTCTCCATAATAACTCTTCTCCCCCCATCCCTGGAGGGATTTTGAATTTTCATTTTTTCCTCTTGATCTGAGTACATCCAGCCTTCCATGGATAGTATGAATGTCTCTGTTCTTGACTCTCAGCAACTTATTATTTCAAGTGCCGTTGGCTTGTAGTGGGGCAAAAGTCACGCTTATCATTTTTTAAATCACATTTTCTCAGAGACTCAGGATCATGGGCAATGGATGTCTTCAAATTTTTGCAGAAAATCAGCTAAATATAATGAAAAAACAGGGGTGTAAGGAACTTCGGGAAGCTCTTATAAGAGCTCTTATTTTTCCTTTTTTAGAAATAGTAATTCCAGTCTTATTTTGAAATTTATGGTTATCCTTTTCAATTCTACAATTATTAAGTTTTTAAAAAATCAAACATTACTTCTACTTTCAAAGACATATTCCTGTATTAAAAGAAATTGCAGATTTTCTTCTTATGGTAAATAGACAATAAGAGGCCTAATGACAAAGGTGAAAATTTATTTACAGTTATATTCAGAATTGTGAACATAATATGAAGATATGATTTAAACGATCAAGTTAAAGTAATATATGATGGAAATGACATCAAATTTTCTTAAAATGTTCCAAATAAAAATGAATCATCCATTTAAAAATCCATATAACCAGGGGCTTCTCTGGTGGCGCAGTGGTTGGGAGTCCTCCTGCCGATGCAGGGGACGCAGGTTCGTGCCCCGGTCTGGGAAGATCCCACATGCTGCAGAGCAGCTGGGCCCATGAGCCATGGCCACTGGGCCTGTGCGTCCAGAGCCTGTGCTCCACAATGGGAGAGGCCACAACAGTGAGAGGCCCGCGTACAGCAAAAAAAAAAAAAAAAATCCATATAACCATGATACTCCCTTTTCAGCTCCTAATAGCAGTGATAGCATATATAATTGGGGGAGACAGTTTTCACGGTTTACCAGTAAAAATAACCTTTGGTTGTGCTTAAAGCCATTACTTGTTTACCGATGTTCCCAATTAGTTTCCAAGAAGTAAGTCAGGCTCCACATAGAAGTACCTAATACTTCACAAACTGAAAGTGTACATAATTCCAAATATGAATCAGATCAGCTGTGACAGTCATGATTTTTCCGTACTCAAAGGATAGAGGATGCTAAATATCACAGGACGTGTAGAGGTAATTAGAATCAGTACTTAGAATCAGTAGAGTGTATTCTCCCAAATAGGTTTTGTAAATAGCCAATATTATCAAAGATGATAATAGATGTTATATGAAAAATAAAGTTCCATGACCAAATATATTTGGGAAACCCTGAATGTACATTTTTCCATCTTGGGAGAATGTTGACACAAATGACTATATTGAAAACTTTGAGATATACTTTAGGAAAGAAGTCTGTTGACCTTGTTTACCCAGTGATTTTTCATCTTTTACTTGGAACACAAGTTGAGAAAACCTTCCCTAGCAATGTGGTTTGAAATAAGAAACATTGTTTTAACTCCTCCACCAGTATCTAGTCAGATCTTCTATTGTTCTCATAATCATCATCATCATCTTAATTGTCATCATAGCCATCATTGCAAAATATTATTAAATGATCTTGATTAATAACCATGCAAAGGGAATTACATACATAAGTCCTGTATTCCTCAAGCTTACAGCTTAAGACTGTCAGTTCAAACCTATACATACATCTACAAAGCATCCAGACAGCAGCTAAAGCATTAAGCCAAGACATGGAACATTTCAGCTTAGATCATAGGGTTTATGTTTAGTTAGGGTTAGAGAGATGTTATTCTCAAATGGAAAGTCTCAGGATAAGGCCATTATCTAGCTATTAGCTGTCTTTGGGGAAGATACCTAAAACTGTTATAAGTAATGGTGAGACTGCTTGGGCAGTTGGTAGGAAGAATGTCTCAGGCACAACATACTGCATTAGTTAAAGAAAGTGATAACAAAAATAGAAACAGCAACAAGGAGCCCTAACCTAAATGAGGGATTTGGGAAGGGGAAGTAGAACTGAGTTGAGATTGCAAGGAAAATGAAACAAGGTCAAAACAAACTGGGCCAGCCCCAGGTGGGCTCTATTTGTGGTCATTTGCAGGGATGTATGATTACCTATATTTTGCACACATTAATATTTAGCTTCCTTACCAGAAGGATACAGCCTGGCGTGCCTTCATTTTATCACTGTTCTAATGAGAGTAAAACTGTTGAGTTTTGTGAGTGAATAGATGACCAACATACCATTCTTATATACTTAGGGGCACATATTAATATTTTACTTTGTAACAATGAAATATGTGTTGAGAGAAAAAGAAATCTACATTGAATCAACTTGCATTGCTTTAAAATAGGCATTTAATGTACAGGTTACTTTGGATGGGTATTAATTTTTCCACTGTAGGATTATTAGTTCCTATTACATTTATAATTTGAGAAAGAAAATGCTAGCACTGAACTTCAGCAAAAGTCAACTTTCTAAAAATCTCCCCATTCCATCATGTTTAGAATCACCTTTTTATTCATTGTGATTTATTTATTTATATACCTGAGCTACTGCTTTTGAAACTGAATACGTGAACTAAAATATTTGAGACTGTAGAGAACTCCTTCCACTTTTGAATCTTCTAGGTATCATTCCTATCCATGGGGGACCAAGAATCACCCAACCAAAAGATGAAAGTGCTGCATTTTGAATGGACTTGGTTTTCCCAGTGAAGATCAAGTTCTGGACTTCAACCACTACTGGCAAGATGCCCAAAGATTGGGTGCTGCTAAAAGAGTGTGGAAGAGAAAAGACCAACATGCCATGGTGCCTGCAGGACCTCTTTCTGGAGGTCCAGTGCTAAGAGGCTTCATCCTTAGGACACATGTATACAGGATGACAGTGTGCTTCTGGGAGAAAATGCTGCAAAATTCATCTGTGAGAAGAAAACCCACTCCTTGCAGAACTTTCCTCCAAGTTAAAAAATAAAATACTTGTCATATTTTTCAAAGGAATCTACTTAGAATTGCTGAAACTATGTTTAAAGGCATCTATGTATAAAAGATAGTTTCAGATAAAGAAAATTATAGAACTCAGAACAGTAATATATTGGATGATTCACTGTATCCCTCAATGTTTTTAATCTTAAAAGAAATTCAGAATATGTGATCGAATTATTTTGTAGTTTTATTTGTTTGTTTTAATGAAAGGATTGGTTTTCTCTTAACCAGTTGGGTACTAGTGGTCTTGAACAGTATTTGTAACCTTGCACAGCCTCTGGGAATAACAGTTGAATTGTCATATTTAAGCTAAGAATGTATTGATGTATAGTTTGTGTATATGTATATATGCATAGGGGGAGGAGGGAGGTTTTGATTAGGCTAATGCTTTGCTGCTAATCAAACTCATAGTGTTTTTAGGGCACTTTGAAGAGTCATAGAGTCTATGAAAGAGATGCAATATTCCATATTCCAAGTCCCACCTAACTGAAATTACCAACATTGCTTTTAAATTTTTTATTGCTTGAGAATTTGAAATGAAAATAAGTTATATAATAAAATATAAATGTCTTCTTTATTCATTGAAACGTCTCTAGAAAAGAGAACTCAGAGCACCAAAACAGTGTCCCATTCCTGTGTGGGGATAATTTATGGTGAAAATTCTCTAGGTTCTTATTGGGCTAAAATCTCTTCAACTGGCTTCTTATAACTGGTATAATGTCAAGAAATTATTGCCAAATCAGACTGCACTTCTAACTACTTAAGAAGATTTTAAATCTATATAATTAGTAATCTGAAAGCTGAAATTATGCTTTTTATTTACTTCTCACTACGTTCTATCTTATTTACATTGATATATTTTTAGTATGATCAAATAAAATTTAGTACAGTGGTTGAAACACAATAATCTTTTCTATAGTATGGAAAAATCTCTTAATGTGAATCCATACTATTTTTACAGTTAGTATGTTTAGTACTTAAACTATATCCTATTCTCTTTAACCCATTCCTTTGAAAATTACCAGTGAATCCTTGTCTTTAAGCCAAATTAATAATTACAAACACACTGTAATTTAAAGTAATAGATGAGAATACAGCAATGAAAATTTTGTTTTAGCTTTCAACCAAATTCATCCACATGTGAAATTTACATGTGACGTCAAAAGGCTATGATATTGTTGATTTAAACCAGGAAAAATTCTATTTCTATTCCAGCTTAACTTGAACCTACATGATTATATTTTATCTCTTTTCATGTATGGAATGGGCACATGTCTTTGTACAGGAGGCACAGGCCTAGAGGGGCACAAATTTTCATTGTGATAGAAACCAGTATTTAGAAACAAACCAAGCTATAGGGTGAAAGTTTGAACTATAAAGTTCTTCTCAAATGGTGTAGAAAAGCATAATATTCAGAGGTCACACCTTGGTAAGAAAAGAGAAATTGCTTATTTGAAGGTGTTTTTAAATGCATAAAATTTTTTTAACATCTTTATTGGTGTATAATTGCTTTACAATGGTGTGTTAGTTTCTGCTTTATAACAAAGTGAATCAGTTATACATATACATATGTTTCCATATCTCTTCCCTCTTGCATCTCCCTCCCTCCCACCCTTCCTTATCTCACCCCTCTAGGTGGTCACAAAGCACCGAGCTGATCTCCCTGTGCTATAATGCATAAAATTTTAAATGCATACCTTATTGACCAGAAAGGGAGCAAAATGTTTCCAACTAACTCTTCTAGACCATACAAATGGCAGGTATTATGCTAGAAGTTAGTAAGAATTAACAAAAATAAGCAAATGAATGTCTTTTCAACAGCAGCTTTAGGCCCATCAACAGCTCTAAGCTGATAGATGCATTCTTTTGCCAAAATGATATATTCTTAAACTACCACAGTCACTGAATCAGCATTCTCCCAGTGCAAGACCAAGACTTTAAGGGAAGGTTAGGCACTGGTAAGGGAAGCGTTTTGTGCAGGGGGTCACATCCCAGCAAGGAGGTTAACAAGGAGCCCCTTCCCTTCCCAGTAAAACAATGATCATTTTGTTTTGACTATCTAAACTGTCTTCTAGTGCAAAGTTGTTACTTGAACTTAATAGGCCTCATTCTTTTCCTGATTGCATTTCAATTTTTTCTCTTTATTTTATATAATTTTTAAATTCTTTGTTGTGCAATGAAATCCCTGTGATTTCATCTAATTCTAAGTCGCTGAATATTTGTATGGGACAGATTATGAATCAGCCTTCTCAGATCATTTTTGATACACAAAATACTTGATTTTGTTTTGACTTCCCTGGTGGTGCAGTGGTTAAGAATCCTCTTGCCAATGCAGGGGCACGGGTTCCATCCCTGGTCCGGGAACATCCCACATGCCGAGAGCAACTAAGCCCATGCACCAAAACTACTGAGCCTGCGCTCCTAAAGCCCATGCTCCGCAACAAGAGAAGCCACTGCAATGAGACGCCTGTGCATCACAACGAAGAGTAGCCCCTGCTCACTGCAACTAGAGAAAGCCCACGTGCAGCAATGAAGGCCCAATGCAGCCAAAATTTAAAAAACTAAATTTAAAAAATTAAAAATTATATTAAAAAAATATTGTTAAAGAAAAGCTCTATCTGAATATGTGTACTTGAAATTGTCATTTCCTTTTTTTTTTTTTTTGCGGTACGCGGACCTCTCACTGTTGTGCACTGTTGTGGCCTCTCCCGTTGTGGAGCACAGGCTCTGGACGCGCAGGCTCAGCAGCCATGGCTCACGGGCCCAGCTGCTCTGCGGCATGTGGGATCTTCCCGGACTGGGGCACGAACCCGTGTCCCCTGCATCGGCAGGTGGACTCTCAACCACTGCACCACCAGGGAAGCCCCCTGTCATTTCCTTTTTAAAAGCAGAATATTTCATTCTCAGGGAAGTGACTGCAGCAGGCATATGTGCTTACTGTTTGTTAACTTTATCTTCTTCCAGACATGTGATATTTAATTAGAGATCTTCAGAGAATAGTGACGTGTACACTAGACCCTGAGCTCATAGATGCATTTCAGAAACTTTCTGGGAAAACAAACACTACTGAGTTTTGTGTGGACATCTATGCAGTTCTGGGTGATATGTGTACATCTATTTTGGCATTCTAAAGCAGAACTTAATTAAGAAACATTGTTATGAAGTTTACCCAAATGATGGAACTGAATTGGAGTTAAGGTCTTTCTAGAGATACCATCTATGACTTATTAAATACTATGAATTTTGATGTTCAAAAACTAACATAGGACTTGTTGATTATGTGCAATCCCAGCAATATCATCAATTAATCACCATTTGTATTTAAGATGTGTGAAGGTGACAATATTGCTTAGTGAATTCCATCAGTATTAATATGTATAGAATCCACATCCTTCCTTTTGATATGCTGAATTGAAAAATATATTTATTGCTACTTCTCTCTTTTGTTGGGAATGGTGAGGAGCCATGTACATCAAATATGCTGGATTCCCTTAGAAATGGCTTCAGCTTCTGTCTGAAGGCAGGAAAAACTTTTGAAACCTACTTTTATTGTTTTTCCCTTTATTTATGGTGTATATTCACGAGCACAGAAATCAACTGGAGAGACAATGCACGGGCATCAGAACTGACACAGTTTCTCAGCACATTAGAGATACAGCTATGAAGGACTCCCAAGCAAGGGAACCTCAATGCTTCTGTGTCAACCTGGACTCTTTGGATGAAATTCCATCCAAACATGAAATTCTTCATGTTTGACAACTAAATGGGATAACAAGTTATTTTACATATACCTTTATGGTATCTTTCAGATTGTATCCTTTGATGGAAATTTACAGTTTTGGATAGGTTATTTTTCCAATTGAAATGTGCTACTATCAGTGTGCTCAACCCTTGAATGCTGTTTTCCATACTGCTAGGAAGACACAAATGTCTCAGGGGAACAACTTTGTGATAAAGAAATTCTTATATGTGTCATTACAGTTAAATTGTATATTATAAATATTACTGTTATGGTTAATTACAATCCTGCTGTGATGTTTTGAAATTTGAAAAATGGACAGGAAAGATTTTATGACTTTGACAGGGTGACTGATGGATATTGCAAATTTTCATGCTTTCTGGGACTATGGGTGATAGTTGTTTTTAAAAATGAAGATCACATGTCCTAAAATCATAGCAGCATTCGTGGTATGTGAGGTGTGCTAGATTTTTTTGCTACACATATATAGCAATTAACTAGTAATATAAAAGTTTTTAAATACAGTTTATTGCTTTATGTTAAAAGTAAATGAACTCTATTCTCAATTGAAAACTGAATATTATTCCTCTAAATGTGACAAACTTCCTTTTTTCATTCTGTAGTATGAAACTTTGCACTGTACCCAGGAACTACACTTAGAGGTAGCAAAGTTGTATTACAGCAAATATGTGATTCTTTAATTAAACATGTGGAAGTAGCCTATCTTGTTTCTCCTAAACAAGGATGGAAGTTTTGTCTTTAGAGAAAGTTACTGTCATTTTGATAGGTTATCAACAAGTCTGAATAGGTGCTTGGAATTGACCTAGTGAACTCACAAATGAAAAATTAGCTGAAGTTTTTGCAAATGTGACAAACTGTTTCCAAAAAAAACAAGTAGAAAGAGGATTGGACTAGAAATAACAAACCAAGTGGAACAAATGTTTTAAGGCCTTAGCACCTTTAAGCCAGACTGAAAGGATCTCATAAAATATTCCTAACCCATGATTTAGTTCTACATTTCAAGCACCAGTTGAGTCAGGGTTCTGAAAAAGAATTATAAGTCTTATAAATGGCATTACATTTTAGCTTTCCTTGCCCTCCATGTCCTCTGTGTTTACCTCACGAATTTTGAAAGAAATGGAGCTGGTTCAGGGATACCTCATGTCCAGAAGGAATAGATGAACTGTTTGGATGAGCCCAACATTAACACTGAGAGAAATGAATAAATGCAAGCACTCAGAAGTGAAATCCTAACTTGCCAAAGAGGAAAGATGAACCTTTCAAGG